ATGTGATTGTCTATATTGAAAATGCTGTTGAATGTATGGAACTTTTTGAATTAAGTTTAGCATGGTTTCAGAATTCAAGGTCAATATATAAAACTTAATTGTATTTCTACATACTAGAAATGAAGAACCTAAAATTAAAAATACCATTTATAATATTATCCAAATATGAAATAATTAGGCATAAAGTTGACAACAGATGTCTAAGATTTTTTTCATTAAAAAACTACAAACTATTGCTTAGAGAAATTAAAGAATACCTAAACAAAAGGAGAAATATATTATGTTCTGGCATCGGAAGCAAGACTTAATATTGTTGAGACATCTCCAAATTGGTGTGTAGATTCAGTGCAGTGTCAGCACTTGAACACACCCACCCTGCAGGTCCCAAAGCTTTTGCAGACAAATGACCTGGTGAAGTCTTGGGCATTTGGCTGCAAAGGCTTGTGCTGAGCCGTGTGAGTCTGACAGTGGTCTCTAGAATCAAAATCCTGGGTGGCAGGGCTATCAGAGGATGGCCAGGAGGCCAGGAGCCAGGGCTGAATTAGGAGGGCCCCCTCCTAGGGTCAAATGGGAGGTAGAGATTCACCCGGAAGTCTGACAGCCATTATCTCCAGGTGGTGGAGTTATGGATGAATCTTATTTACCTATTTGTGTTTATATTTTCTGACTTTTTTTTTTTAAAGCAGAACAGACCTATTTCCAATGCAATCAGAGACACAGCAATTCTGCAGTTGCTTCTTACCTCATTTTGGTTTTTGTACTTGTGCATAATTTGAATATTTTATAAGAATATTGCATTTGTTTTCATAATGAAAAACAAGGCAGGCAGGTAGGCAGGAAGAATGTGACCAAGGGTAAAAGTGGGTCTTAAGAGACCGAGAACTCCTGGTAGGGCCATGTCCCAGTAACCAGGACACGGAGACTGCAGCACACCCAAGACTCACAAGCACCACGTTTTACTTGTCACGTTCTTTCCAAATCTGACTTTTGTTGGACAAACAGATTTAGTTTCTGGTTAATACGTTAAGTCATCTCAGAATATTCGACAGAAAACTTGACTCCTTAATTCCACAAAGGCAGATTGGGATTTCTAATTACCTAATTGAAAAAAGGTACACACTTCAGGCTGCTGTGGTGTTTGGGAATTAATTTTTAAAACCTGACAGTAAACATTAAATTCAATTAGGAAGAACGATTAGCAAAGAATCTTCTGGCCTTCACCCTGGGTAGCTTGGAGAAGTGGCTGACTGGTCTGCATTGATTCTTGATGCTATTGTCGTGTATATATCAACCAGGAGAGCCAAGTACACTTTTTTCACTTCAGAGAGGAGTTATTGGGCAGTTTACAGATGGGTGGATTTCCTTAAATGTGTTTCCATCTCGGATTCAGGAGGCCCCCTGGCCAAGAATTCAAACTTTCCCATTTGCTGCTTCTGGACTTGTGCCGCAGAACTCTCTGCTCTCTTCTTTCTTTTTCTTTGATTTTGGCCACCATCCATCTTTCCTCCCCATTCCCCATCCCCTCCCCCCATCCCCCTTGCTCTCTTTTCTTGTCTTTTCCTGCTTCCTTTTCCCTCTCCTTCCTTCATCCCTTCTTCTCTTCTTCATTATAAATTATGAAATATTTTAAAGAATGAAGTATGGAAAGTGACGTAACAGACACCTGTGTGCCCACCACTCTGACTGTAAAATCCAGGGGCTGGTCCCAGCCATCATCTGATCAGCGTGGCAGCAGCACGGGACCCAAACTGACCTGTTTCTCCCCGGCTCCCAGGAGACCCCTCTTCTGTTTTCCCTCCCACCTCTTTGGCCTCTCCTTCTCAGACTCCTTTCTGGCTCCTCAGCTTGCTTCCACCCCTACCTGTGAATGCGGGCCTCCTCTCTGCTCTATGTTGATTACACCTGGTGACTGAAAGACTGTCAGCGACAGTGACCCCCAAGCCCAACCTCCGCCTGGGACCTCACACTCATGTATCCAGCTGCCTGCTCTCTGTTTCCCCAGGTTGAGCTCCTGGTCTTCCCCAAACATGCAGCTGCTGTCATGGGTCACCCTCCTGCCCCACACTCCTCGGGGTGCTCGGTCCAGAGCTGAGGGACATGGCCTGCACTTTCCTAGTGCCGTCCTACCCCACCTCCAAGCCAAGGACATCTTGTTGGCTCTGCCTTCCAAGCAGGGCCGCTTCTCCACTGTCCCCAGTTATCCTCTCTCCACTGGACTCTCACCAAAGCCCGTCATCTTCCCGGCCCCTCCCTCTCCTCCCTGCGCGGCAGCCACAGTGGCCCTGCTCCCACCTGTGGGCTTCTTCCCCCGTTTCTGTAGAGCTCCCTCCTCCTGGTCACCTCCTCCTGGTCAGAGGCTCTTTCCAGCCCCGTCTGCTCCCCTGATAGCCTTTCTCCTCCTTCCTTTATAGACGGCCAGGCGTCATCGCTGCCCGAAATGCTGTATGGATTCTGCTGGCTCCTCCTGTCCAGAATCTGTCCACCCCACTAGAATGGAAGTTTGGAGGCAGGGTTTTGTCTGCGTTGTGCCCTGCCGCACAGCGCCTGGCTAATAGCAGGTACTCGGGAAAGGCTTGCTGAGTGAACGCGTGAAGGAAGGGGTTTAACGGAGAGCGACGTTTTTTGGGCGTGTTTCTTCAGAGCAGATCCCCTCTCTCTCTCTGCCTCTCTTTAGAGGAAATGCAGCATGGTGTTCGTAGCTCCCTTCCCCGACCCTTTGCTTCTCCCTCCGTCTCCAGAACGGCCAGCATCTCCATGCCTGTTTTTAGTCTTGCTAAAAATGCCCAGGTGAGCATGTGAGACCCTCACTCCATGGGGGTTTTAAAAGCTGCACCGCCTCGCTCACCTCTGAGTACCCGGCTCAGTGGTGTTAAGTTCATTCACGCCGTCGTGCAGCCGTTGCCGCCCTCCAGTCCCAGACCCCTTCCATCCTGAAGAATGGAAACCATCCCCACTAAATGCCCACCCCCCGCCAGCTGCTGGCAGCACCACCCCCAGTCCAGTTCTGTGATTTCGACGAGCCGAGGACCCTCATAGAAGTGGGGTCACACCCTGGCTGTCTTCTGGTTGGCATACAGTCCTCGAGGCTCATCCACACACTAGCCTGTGAAAGAGTCTCCTTCCTCTTTCTGGCCGAACATTCCACCGGGCGGACCGACCGCATCTCGTTTATCTGTTCACCTGTCGACGCGCCCTCGGCCACGTCCACTGCGGGCTGTCGTGAGTAGTGTGCCCGTGAGCACTGGTGTGCACGTGTCTCTTTGAGGCCGGGGTTTCTGTTCCTTTGGATCATACGGCGACTCCGGGTTTATTTCTGGAGGAAGCGCCCTGCTGTTTTCCACGGCGGCTGGACCGTTGTGCATCCCCTCCAACCACGTGCCAGGGCTCCGGCCTCCGCACATCCTTGCCAGCACTGGGCCTGCTCTTCTGTTTTCGAAAGAGGCCATCCTAGCGGGTGTGCGATGGCATTTTTAAAGCTTAGACGGCATTGTGCTGTGTGCGAGCAATGTACTCAATGTTTGCGTTGGTGTGTGTGTGTTCACTGTAGCCGTGTTACACCCTGTGGATCTGGTTCATCAATTTTCCTTTTTTTCTGCTCTAGTTAGACTTGCACACAGCTCTGAAGCGCGGCCCACAGCAGCGCCCTCCGCGCCGCCCTTCTGCCGTGGAGCCCGCTCCACTCGGGGCACCGCAGCCGCTCTGTGTGTCACTCCCGTTCGTGTTTCTGCACGTGCGCGCCTCAGCTCTTGAGTCTGAGGTCCCAGCGGGGGCCCTGGTGCGGAAGGCAGGCCCTGAGCTCTCGGGGGGGGGGCTGCTCTTGGGGGCCACTCTCGACCCCGTTTCCTTGAGCTCAGACGCTCACGTGCCCAGAAAGCGTGGGTCTGGAACCCTCCTCCTTGCATTTTGAGAACCTTCAGGATGTGCTTGCTCATCACGAGAGGGAAGGCTCTCGCTGGGATCGGGTGTGTGGACGTGCGTGGCTGCACTTGGGGTTTTCTCCTCTTAAGGAAATGAAGTCGGGCTTCCTGTGTGTGGTCGAGAGAGTGTCGGGACCCTGCCGGCACAACTGGGGGCCTGCCACCCCAGGGAGCAGCACGCCCACCAGCACCTCGGCTCTGCTCCCTGCCTCCCGAGGTGCTGCCTGCTGGGTCCTCGTTCCTCCCCCTGCCCTTGGGGTGAGGAGGAGACCGAGGCCCGGAGGCCCGCAGCTCGGGAGGCCCTTGGCGCCAATGTCCACGTGCTGCTGCAGGAGCTCTTCCTGCTTCTCGTGCTCAACCTCTGACCCACCCCACAGGGTCCAGAAGGCCAGCTGCATGCCTTCCGGCCTTTGTCCAGGACTAGGTGGTGGTGGGTGGGACTTCCTGGGAGAGCAGGTGACGACTGAACCCAGGCTCTCGGACACCCAACGGCCCTGCTTCTCAGAACGTCCAGCTCTATACTCGAGGGTTTGATAGCACATTCCAGAAGTCAGGAAGCATACCTGGCGCTTTCTGCCATGGGCCTTCTCCTTGGAGAGCCAGAACGGGAACGGGGGACAGCACCGTCTCTGCCCAGGGGACAGAGCTCTGCCCCTGCCCCGTGTGAGCACAGGCACGGCAGGCTGCTTCCTGGGTCTGAGGCCTAGACCCGTGGAGATGGCCGGCTGGGGGCAGGGCCCACGCCAAGGCTGAGAAAGTCCTATCCCGGGGGTAGGCGACAGAGATGCGGTGAGACTTGGCACAGCTGTGAGTGTGGGTAGCTGAGGGGCGGAATGTGGGCCATGCTGTCTTCTTGCAGGCCCCCGAACCCCAGAACGTTTCTAACAGAAGCTCCCCTTCAACTTGCCAGCCCCAGGCCTTCATATGTGTACAAGGAAGCGTTTAGCCTCTAGATCCTGTTTTGATGGAAAAACAAAGGGAATGTGCCCCACTTCAGGATGCTTCTCCTCATGCAGGGCCTGGGCTGAGCCCCAGGGGCCGGGCACCCCACTGCTGACGTCTGGTGCTGTGCTTGCCCCACAGGTGTGGGACGCCGTGGACTCGGGGAGCTGCCTGCAGACCTACTGCCTGCACAGCGAGGCTGTGCGGGCCGCCCGGTGGTCGCCCTGTGGCCGCTGCATCCTCAGTGGCGGCTTCGACTGCGCCCTGCACCTCACGGACCTTGAAACAGGTGTGTTTCTGTGTCGTGACCCCAGGGCACCCCTTTTGGTCACTGAGTCTGCCTTCTCCCGGGGGCGCTTCTCCGTGGCCGGCAGGACCCAGGGCCGTGGGACCCAGGCCTCAGTGGGACCCAGTGCAGGTTCGGCTGTTGGCCTAGAGCCGAGCTTCTCCCCAAAGGGCTGGGGGCAGGCCCATGCCAGCTACGCAGAGGACAGAGCCCCAAGGTCGTCTCAGCCCCCAGCTGTGGGGCTGGATAACAAGGTGGCTTTTTAATCAACTTCTGACATTTAATTTGTACCAGAATAGATTTAGCTTTATCACAGTGTCTTTCGGTCAGAATTGCTTTAGAATTCCTGTCAGTCCATTCCCGTTGAAAGGCGGTAAGGAGTGATTCCAGCTCGTAAGCCGAGTCTGTGGACACGCTCTGTGTTGAGGTGCCCACATTGCACAGGCGCGTGGTGAGCCCGGTGCATGCTGGGCAGGTCTGAAGGGGCCCTTGGACAGCTGGGTGAGAGGAGACAGGTCGGTGGAAGGGACTCGTCCCTGGGCAGCCCCTCCCGTGCACCAGACCCAGCTGCAGCCCCACTCGGACGGGCCCTGGGCAGTGACAGGTGAAGACTGAGTGGGGGCGCACCTCCGAGTGGGGGCACACCAGGTGACTGCCTTCTGCTCCTTGGGCTCCTTCTGGGTCACTCTTCCACTGGGCCCCTCCCTGGGCAGCTTTCCTCCCCTGCCTGGCCCAGCAGGGGTGGTGCTGGGGTCTGTGCCCCTCCTGGGGCCCAGCGACTCCTGGTTGGGAGGTGCACCTGGCTTCTCCCCAGCAGTTCAGAGGAGATGCAGGAAGGGCAGGCGGCGGGTGGGTGGTTGGGGTAGCTGCAGGCTTTGTCTCCCACCTCAAGGGTCCTCATCTCCGGGCTGTGGAGGGCAGCTGTGCAGCTTGTGCAGCTCAGACAGCCCCGTGCCCTCTCGGTGCCAGTGTCTGTGTGCGAGGCTGGTCCTGGGCCACAGGCTTTGCACACGACGTGCCGGTCCTCCCTCAGCCTGCTGCCTGCGAGTGTTTACTTCCACACTTTCCAGGTGGGGAGCTGAGGCTACAGGGGTGAGGCGTGAGGGGCTCGCTCAGGGCACCCCCAGGGGTGTGCGTCACCCGGGGACTTGAGCCGTGTCCATGCAACTGCAGAGCCTGTGCCCTTCCCGCAGCACCAAAGCACTCTTCTCCATGGCAAAGCATTTCCTGTGGTCTCACTGTGAGCCCAAAGAGGCTGGCGAGGGAGCCCAGGCTCTGGGAGTTTGGTGCCCATGGTGTGCCGGGCCTTCTTCCGCACGCCGACACGTGGATCTCCTCTAGGCCCTCCCCGCCCTTGGAGGCTGGTGTCAGCAGGATCCTCTTTTCACATGCTGGCCCAGAGGCATGAGCCAGGAGGTACAGCCGGGTGCAGGCATGTCCCCCTGGCTCCAAAGACTTCTGCCTGACCTCCACCCTGTTGCTTGTGCATTCAACATGTGACATACTCAGTGTTGGGGACACAGGTGAAGGAGCCCTGGGACCCAGCCTGGGGAAGCACGTGGCTGCTAGGAGGCCTGGGCGCACAGAGAGAATGCCAGGCCGGGCTGATGCGGAGAGACAGGAACCAAGAAAGCATCCTGCCTGGGAGATCAAGGAGGGCTTCCTGGTGGAAGAGGAACCAGAGCTGAGGCAGGATTAGGGGGACAGAGAACTGGAGTGCAGGGGTGTGGTGGAGTGGGAGGGAACTGGTTCTCAGCAGGTAGAACGACGAGGACAGAGTTGTCAGGGGAGCACGAACCGTGTGGCTCATGTGGAAACGTGGAGTGCAGGGAGCTGGGGGAGCCAAGTGTGGGGTGCAGGAGCAGCAGCCCGAGCTTCATGGAGCTCCAGGCCCGTGGGGCGCACATTCCCCAGGCATGTGCTCCCCACTGCAAGGTCGCTGATTGTCTACGGGTGCCACCGCCCGCCCCCCTGCGGCGGGAAGGGCCGCTGCTCATAAGCTGGTGCGCTGTTGGGTCAGTCGAGCACAGGTTCACTGAGCAACATGGATGGATTCCTGGTGGCCCTTCGTCTCTCCGTCTCCTTGACAAACAGATGTTTCACAGTCACAGCCGTTGCGGGTGGGGGCTGTGAGTGGGGGCACAGTTCTGAAATCTCCAGACTGTTGGAGTCCTCCTGCCTGACAAGCTGGGAACCGCCACAGCAGGTGAGGCTGGCGTGCTCTGGGCAGACTCCCTGGTTGTGGCAGTGGGTGGCTGTGCCTGAGGCTGGGGGAGAGCTGGAGGTGGAGGCCACTGGCAAACCCTTGGTGGTGGGGCTGGGGTGGGGGGCCCTGCCCAGGTGCCCCCCAGCTGCGGTGTGCCCCAGGGCCTGCCCTCAGAGCTTTGCCGTCCAGTCGGGGAGGTGAGGGGGACTTTCCCACACCCCCCCTCGCTGGGCGGTCACACCAGTCAGGGGTTACCGGGTTTGTGTGGGCGTGGCAGCCCCACCCCACGTGAACCCCTCCCCACACCCCGACCTGGGCTGTGCCGGGCGCCCCTGCCTCCATGGCTTTTGGCTTTGTTTGGCATCTCACCGTTTCCCGTCATCGAGTCCCATCTCCCTCTTCGCTCCAGCTGCCTGTCCATACCCCCCCACCCCCCGCCGGCGATTGGGCGGTTTCATTTCAATCTAATGATAACTCCCCACCAGGAGAAGGCAGTGCGGGAATCTGGGCAGTGAAGGCTCTGGGGAATCAGCCACTCGGTGCCCGTTGTCATTAATGGGGATCTGGCGCCAAGACCATTTAATCCTGGCGTCCTCTGTCAATACCGTTAGAGACCTGTGGGCTCTGGAGCATCAGTACTCGGCCTGAAATACGGAGGGCCGTCAACACTTTATCTCGTTAATTTACAGTTCTGACGGACCATTGGCTTACAGAGTAGCCATGAATCAACACCTAAATAAAACCTGCTCACAGATTAATTATTTTTTATGCTCTTGTTTCAGCCCCTAATCTTCCTAACAAAACGCCTCGGGTGCCTGTGGCTGGGCCCCTCAGGGAGCGCTGGCCCACCCCACCAGGGCCTGCTTCGTGAGTCAGCTGTCCTGCGCACTAGGTCAGCCTGTCTCCTCAAAAAGTCTGGGCAAGCTTGTTTCGTTCTAGGCAGTGCAGGTTTCTTGCATGTGCTGCCCACCTGCTGGTCGCCCCAGCTGGGCTGTTCAGGCCTCCAAAGTAAAGGAGATGCTTCTCTCCCTGGAGCCCCAGGGCCCCAGCTGGGCAGGGCACCCTGTCCTTCCCACGCCATGGTCAGCTCTTCCGGTGTGAGCCCCACCCATCTGTGTGCCAGAGGTGTGGACAGGTGCAGATTCTGCCCTGCCAGCTGCCCGAGCTGGGCATCCTCAGGGAAGCTTGCTGGCCTGTTTCTGCAGCCGGGAGAGGGGCTGCTGGGCCCAGCTGGCGGGCCTGAGGTGGGTGCAGCCGAGATGAGGTGCGCAGGGCACTCTGCACAAGGCCCGGCACATGGCAGGCCCTCGGCCAAGGGTACCCCTTCCCCCCTCTGCCGCCCCACGGACCCGATGGCTTTGTTCCCGTGGAGTGTCCAGAGAGCACCCGTCACTGGGCCTTTTCCCCAAATGGGGCAGCTTTGGCAGCTGAGGTCCAAAAGCTCAGTGTTCTCCTGAGCTGGCTTGCTGGCGTGGCTGTTGGTTCCATGTGTGGATCAGGGGCAGGCGGGGGTGTCCCAGCTTCCCTGCTACCTTCCGCTCTGTGTGACAGCATGGCCAGGTGGTGGGGCAGCACCGCTCTGTGTGACCTGCTGATGGGGTGGCACGTGCCCCTTGTCTTGGGTGGGGGTCCTCTTCCCACAGACCCCACTGCCTGCAGTCTTGCCATCCCCAGCCCAAGTCTGGCCCCCGCTGCTCTGGGTGTCCATGTGCCTTTTGGTGGGGGGAGTCATGTGCGTGGAAATGGGTGACCCACTGGGTCTGTGCCGGTCAGTGACCATTCCTCTAGCTTGTCCTGGAGGGTCTTCCTGGTGCCCTCCCCCCAGCTTGGGCCCCTGGGGGCCCCATCTCAGACATCCTGTAAGGAAACAGGGTGGCAAAGTGACCAAGCACTCTCAAGGGCCAGGTCTATGTTAAGTTCAAGTTGAAATGAGGAAATGGCTGTTAGACCCTTTGCTTACTAAACAGTGTCCACAGTAACCTGTGAGGGGCTGTTTTTGTCCCCATTTCACTGACCCAGACCCTGAGGCTTGGAGTATTCGGTGGGTTGCCTGAGGCTATACCACCAGCCCCAGCCCGTTGACTGGCCGGAGGCATTGCCCGCTGACACTCGGGAGTGGCATGCCCACACCATGCCTGCTTTCCCGTGGTGAACAGTGTGCTTAGGCCGACTCCTGGGGGGCCCACCTGGTTCTTAGCTGCAGCTGGCTTGCCACCTGTGGAGGGGAGCTCGGGGCTCTGGGAGGCAGGCACGCCCAGGCAGATCTCGGCTAATCCCTCTGATTAAGTGACCGAATGAAGGATGCTTCTCCGGCTTATCGACAGCTGCTGCTTCGGTGCGAGAAATGTCAGCCCTGATGGGTTCAGAACACTTGGCGTAAGAAGGGTGAGCAGCATCCAAGCGAAAACCCTGGATAAGTGCTCCCGGGCGCACAGGTTCCAGGAAGTGGGCCGCGGGAGAGGCTTCCTGTTGGGCCTTTAGAGGGGCCTCGAGCACCGAGACCGAGTGTCTCCCCGTATGTCTCAGATGGTCTTGGTGAAGCGTCTGTCGGTGCCTCCTGTAGCGGGCACGTGTGCAGAGCTCTCCATGGCACAGGCCCGGTGCGTGCTCGCTCCTTGGGTCCTGGGGGCTTTGCTGCCCCATCCAGATGCGGAGGTTCCGAGGGCCGGGTAGCTGTTGAGGTCTGAGCTGCTGCCTGCCCACCCCCAAGTCTCCCTCCTTCCCACTGACACAGGCGGAACCACAGGCCTTGGGTCTTCCCCCCTTGACCCCTGTCATCATCTGTGACCCCACTCTG